AATAGTATCAGGTGAGGATGGTGCTAAGACACTCCAAAGATTTTGAGATACGGCAAAAGAATAGTTCGTGTTTAAATTAAGTTCAATCGCCTTCGTGCAAGCACCCTTTTCACCTAAGTGTGTTAAATGTGGAATCTAATTCATTGTTCCCGATCTACAGGTAATTTCCATCGTGCACATAATAGATTTATGGTCCGACATGTTGAATTTATCTTCATCAGGAATAAAAACTTCATATATTTAGACATGTTTCTCTGTATATGAAAATAGAAAGTGGGGCATACTTCAGTGAGACAGCAGTCTACACCATTTAATAAATTCCTCATCAAACTCCGGATCATTCCAAACTCTAGAAGAAAATGCAAATAAATAGTAAAGATTCTCCAAATATAAATTATCCAAATGGCAACAACAATAAACAGTTTAAAACAACCACTAATTAGATATCTCACTTAAGACATGCACATGGACATGAAGGCAAAACATTCGCATAAACTAAACTAAGGCCTCTAGGCTTATTACGAATCCATGACGTATTTTTTACAACAAATCATTTCATACGGGGATTGTTGGTAAAAAATTTGGCTGCCAAGTTATTTCGGGAATTTACTCAATTGTTACCTTGGTAAATGAATAAAACAGAATAATGGAATACGTGTATAAAACAATGAGATGATTTAGTTGATTAAAATTTGTCATAACAATTGTTTAATAATTTGGTTTCTGATTTTTTTACTATCAGAATTAGTTAATAATTTCTTATTTTTATATTTTTTTACGCCAGTCAAAATTTTGACGGGACGTATTATTGTATACAAATTTCCGGCGTCCGTCTGTCTGTCTGTCTGTCTGTCTGTCTGTCCGCCTGTCCGTCTGTCCGGCATCCACATGTCGTACCGTAACTTGAGAACGACTTATCCAAATTTCATGAAACTTTACATAGTTGTTTCTTATGATGGTTAAACGATCTGTATACTTTTTAATGAAAATAAGATTGAAACTTTTTAAGTTACGGGACTTTGTAACTAAAACCAGCGGGGGGGGGTTCACATGTCGCGCCGTATCACAAAAACGATTTATGATTATTGCTTAAAACCTTACACACTTCTTAGTTATATTAATAAAAATATCTGTATACTTTTTGGTGATGATTCAAAATTTTATTTTAGAGTTATTGAGTTTTTTTTTAAAGGAGGGGTTTTCATGTCGCGCCGTATCTCAAAAACGATTTATGATTATTGCTTAAAACTTTACACACTTCTTAATTATATTAATCTTAAGATCTGTATCCTTTTTGGTGATGATTCAAAATTTTATTTTAGAGTTATTGATTTTTTTATAAAAAAAAGGGGCGTTTTCACATGTCGCGCCGTATCTCAGAAACGATTTATGATTATTGCATAAAACCTCACACACAAGACGACGGGCGTATCATGCGCTCGTGGCGCAGCTGTCTATTTAACTTTCTCTTCTGTCACGGTTTTCCCTTTGTGCTTTGCTATGCTATTGTCGTAAATCTAGTGAGAAGTGTCCTAGTTAAGTTTACTGCATACGGAAAAACTGTCGGGGAGTAGACCATAGTTCAATAGAAGTATAATTTAGAAGATTTAATTAAGATAAAAGGATTATCGTCTTTTCACATACTATAAACTAGAACACCTTTTTGTTGGCGTGTTTGTTAGATTTTTCTGTATGTTTGTTTGAATTTTGCAGTCAGTTGTAATGTATGTTTACAGAATTTTGGCCTCTATATCCGAATTATTGTAACATTCAACTATTATTTCTGTTTGGGTTGCTCACCCAATTGTGTCAATATAACGGAATTATAGGTTGCACTTTGTAAATACAGCTGTTTCTCAAACCACGCCTCTTTTGTGGAGATATAGAATATTCATAGATAATTAATTTTGTTTACATACTGGTTCCCAGTTATGATCTCTATGTTGCATCTCATAGAGACATAAATTGGGAATGTTACCAGTAAATATACATGTGTATATTGTTTATATTGAAATCTGTAGTAATCCTAGAGTCGAGGTAGAGGCAGTTAAGAAATTTATTGTTAGTTTAAACTCTTAGAAGTTCGTAGCATATAAATGTTGAAAATATGCCGCACAGCCCTATATTTTGACCTTTGAAAAAAATAGTAGTGCATATGAACTTTCCATTCTAGGATATGATTTTTTTCAAAACTTCATAGTAAAAGTGGTACAGTTTTAGCCGTAAAGAGAGTTCCTATGGGAAAATGCATTGCCAATATTTACAGAAATGCAACCTATAAACAACTGTCATAATAATGGGAGGTTTGTCTAGCTTAAAAAACCAGGTTTAACCCATCATTTATTTGTTTGGGAAAATTCTTGTACCAAGTCAGGAATATGACAGTTGTTTTTTTTTCACTCGTTCTGTTGATTGATAACGTTGATTTTGTTTGTTTTATGGACTTCCCCTTTTTGAACTTACCTTGAAGTTCGGAATTTTATTATACTTTTTCAAATGAAAGTTTAGATACACAACAAGTGTAGTAAAACTTAGTCATTCAAGTATATAAAAATATTCATCTTTTTTTGTTTAATTTGGCGAATCATATGACTTTACGGCTTCGTAACCGTAGTTAGGCAATTTTGAAGTCGTTGAACTCCATCTGAATATCGAAAAAGTATATACTTATTATAAGTAGCCTTTAAATATATAAAAAAACAGTCAGTTAAAATTTCAAAATAACGAGTTCTTTTTGCTCACACAGTTTAATTATTTACGTGTACTTTGATTTTAGGGGGCTTTTATATTTGTCAGTGTATCAGAAAAAATTAATGTAAAATATCCACAATCAGGATCAATTATTTTTTTGGTTAACTCTGATCATTTGAAATATTGATGTTTATGAATAGTTGTTATCTTGGCATTTGAAGTTAATCCACTCGCTCCCGTTTTTCCACTCGTTCCGTTAGTTGATAACGTTGATTTTATCAGTTTTTATTGATTTTTCTTTATAATAGATATAACAGACTTCAAAGTCAAACCAATTTACCAGCTTGTGATAGAGATTTTGAATATACGCAATTTATGCATTGGAAACTCGTATCTTTCATATTTTATTTTCTTTTTCAGGATGTACAGGTAATGTCAAACCATTATCAATCAGTTGTGGTGACGGTCAACGAAGATGTCCTGGTAATTATCAATGCAACACACCTCCAGCAGGTGGCAGTGGAGTATGCTGTCCTTATGGTATGTTAAAAAGCGTCCTAATTCGCCGTTGTAGAATCTAATGTATTCTGTGTAATATTTTCAAAAATGTACACCAAAATGTTTTGATTGGTTAAAAACGTCATATTCAATAGAAATTCAACCAATGACTTTACGATGTTTTCAAATTAGATAAAGAGAGATTCATGATACATGATGTTTTTAAATATAAGATATGGGGCTGTGGTATGATTGCAAAAGCATGAGACAACAAGATAAGAAAGTAAGTAAATGTATAGAAGCAAAAAGTAAGATAATATTTAGATACAGACTGTAAATAAATGTATACATACAGACTGTTAGTAAATGTATAGATACAGACAGTAAGTAAATGTATATATACAGACAGTAAGTAAATGTATAGACACAGAAAGTAAGAGTATGTATAGATACAGACAGTAAGTAAATATATAGATAAAGAAAGTTGGTAAATGTATAGATACAGACAGACAGTAAGTAAATGTATAGATAAAGAAGGTAAGTAAATGTATAGAAACAGAAAGTAAGATAATATATAGATACAGACAGTAAGTAAATGTATAAATACAGACAGTAAGTAAATGTATAGCTACAGACAGTAAGTAAATGTATTGATACAGAAAGTAGGCGAATGTATAGATAAAGAAAGTAAGTAAATGTGAAGATACAGAAAGTAGGTAAATGTTTAAATAAGAAAATAAGTAAATATATAGATACAGAACGTAAGTAAATTTATAGATACAGAAAGTTAGTAAATGTATAGATAAAAAAAGTGAGTAAAGGTATAGATAAAGACAGTGAGTAAATGTATGGATATAGAAAGTAGGTAAATGTATAGATAAAAAAAAGGTGAGTAAATGTAACGGATTGGGAGTCTTTATTGTTGAACAGAATTGGCTTTTCCATCAAGAGCTTCTGGGATTACCCCCGGGTTTTTTTTGTTTTGTTTTTTTTTTTGGGGGGGGGGGGTCTATTGTGCTCAGTCTTTACTTTTATATGTTGCGTTTTATATACTGTTTTTATCTCGTGGTCTGTTCCTTTTTTTTTGCCATGGTTTGTCAGTTTATTTTCGATTGATGAGTTTGAATTTTACTTTGGTACATTTTGTACATTTTGCCTCTGAACTGAAATCGACACTTCATAAGATTTTTTAGTCACACATTGGTAACCCGATACGAAAGTATGTTTCTCTACTCACAAGCGACATGTTTTTGCGGTTCTAGATATCTATATATATTAAAACAAGTTGTTTTATCAGTCAACCAAGATATTGGTTCCTATTCCTGATTGTGTCAGTTTGACTGAAGGTGGATTTGCATAACGGGTGATGTATGCATCGCAGGAAAAGCTTAGCCTTTCAAAGAACCCGGTCTTGCTCGTATTTGAGTTCATGCAAGTTACTTTCTGCTTTACATTGATTTGTATATTTATAATGGATGTATGAGATACAAACACATAAGGTGAGAACAGATCAAGTAATCGCTCCGTCCTGTAAAAGCACATAAATGGTAAATAGTTTCGTGTCCAATAAGCATGATTAAAAGAGTGGCGCTCATTTTGATGGATTTGAATGGCTTTTTTCTTAAATTTCAATGAACGTGTGAGCCGTATCCGTGGCCTTTTTTCATAAAATACAGTTGAGGATGCATGCTTGGTGCATGTAATTAAATTGATCTTGTTTTCCACCATTACTATTATCTTTATACTAGTAGAAGAAAAGTAGACTTTTATAGAAAATAAATATTATCCCACTAAAATTGATTTTAATTAAGAGCATACAACCAAGCCAGGAGAATGTCCACCTAACACACCTGGTGTTATCTGTCCGTTATTTGTTAGACCAGGAGATTGTACTAATGATGGAAGTTGTCCTGGTAAACAAAAGTGTTGTCAACAGGGATGTTCCAGAAGTTGTGTTGATCCAGGTAATCAAAAAGATAGTACATTCATAAGGCAATTACGGAAACTTAATGAGAGTAACACTTTTTGTCATTTCGTTTATTTGTTTATAACCTGACAATATTTTACTGACTGTTGCGCTTTTGAGCAAATACATTTTAAGTGCGCATAGTAAATTCAATCCACATGAAAAATTTGATTTGAAATCTGCATTCCAGTTATAAATGTCTGCGTATTTATAAATCGTAAGATCGCTTTTATGGACATTTTGACTTAGTTCATTCCTGGTATTCAGTGGTTTGGGGATGCTCAATCTTTAGGTCTGTATCTGTGTTTTTAAGATACTGTTGCTTGTATTCTCAACTCATTTCTTCTGCCATCATCCGTACATGTTATCGATCAAGAGAATCCAAATATAATGGTCAATTTCTATTTTATTAAATATTTATATTCTTTTTTAGTTTCTTCTCGAAAAATCTATAAAAGTATTAGAAAAGGCTTTATAATATTGTTATAATTGTTAATACATTTACACCTTTTACAGGACCTAGATGTGGACCTGTTTGTGCTATATCCTGTCCCTTTGGAAACGTTCTAAATGAAAACAACTGTCCAATTTGTAGATGCAAAACAGGTAGCGATGTTCTGGTGTATTATTATTATTTCCTCTTATACAGAGATAATATCATATCATAAACAAAACATTAGACATAGAACACACACATACAAAACACATTTAGACAGTTAAAAATATCAAAGAAACATTAAGATTAAGCAACGGTGATTGTCGTTAATGACCTGTAAATTATAGATAGAAGAGTTTACAAGTGTTGTATACATGCTGGACACAAAATTTCGAGAAAACGATCGATACCCTCGTCAATATCTAGTTCGTATTTAGTGTCACAGGATATAAGTGCGACTGGAAATTCTAGAGAAAATAGGCTGTCCATACAGACAATAAACTGAATTGGGTTTATGCTTATAATGTTTCTCCACATGTCATTTCCATAATCTAGAACAAAATCACACGAGCATAGTATATCTTCTAAAACGTTTGAACAGTTTTCCGCATTTATCATATATTGTTCAACTTCCATACGTACAATAGCACAAAGGTCAATAACGTACTTTGTAGCTACCCTTAAATTTGGATATCTCTTCGCAATTACCCATGCTTTATGTAACTTTATGACTGGATGGATAGGTTTGAAAAAGTTGAAGTCTCTGTCGTTTGACATCCTTTCTAACCACTGCAATTGTTCAGTCTTGTAAATGTTTTGCGACACTGCATTGTTCCAGACAGTTTTTGATGGAAAAGTTCAATAAGATTAAAAATATGTTACAAAAGACCGTTCTTATTAGATAGTCTATACATATCAGGAATGAAACCAAGCTGATTGTCCACATATTTGTATTTAAACTCGATCAGTCTGGCCATCGTTATCTGCTTTGGTAGGTGAGCTGAATCTAGTCTACATAATCTGCCGGAAAATAAAAGTTTGCATTTGTCAATATAACACTCAATGCAGAGCCATCCAAGAAGGCTGGTACACTTGTCTGATCTAGACCTTTTTGGTAAGCCTTGCACTGCTTTACATACGAATCTGTGAGCTCGTTCATGCAATAATAATTCAGATTTGGTAAGATCGTTTCACAGTTCAGATGAACACCAGAGTTCATAATCGAAATAATAGTTGCTCGTAACATCTGACATGCATTCAGCATCTGTTCAATAGAATCAAAGCTACTCTCTAAGAGAATACCGACATGTTTAGTGGATTTGAAGATAGGTATTTCTGAACCATATAGAAAGAATCTATCGATAGCGATACCTTGTCTCTTCCCATACAGTAGTACATGGCTCTTTCTTGGCGAAAACTTGAAAGCCCAACGCTCACTAAACTTGCAAATGTATATAAGAGTTTGCATTCCTTGGGTTGTAGGAGACATAAGGGCTATATCATCCGCTTGTACAGAACATGCGACTCTTAAATCATAGAGATTTGTACCGTATCTCGTGTTGTTCAATTCAATAAGGAAGTCATTGATAAAGACTATATATATAACGGCTGATAACACACCTCTTTGACGCTCTCCCCATCTCGACAGTTTCTTATTGAATAAGATTGAGCTTTTTATGCCACGATACATTTCGTCGATTAACACCCAAAATTTACCGCAGACACCATATTCTTTTAGATATTTTTTTATTAAGTTTTGATGGAGAGGTTCTAAATGAGGAACGAGTATTTTCTCGAAAGCGATATACCTCGGAATGTGTTTGGGTCAGTTTTGTCTGTATTCCCACCTTTGAATAATAGAATTATAGCACTTGTTTTCCAATCGCCAGGAATATGACATTTTGAATTATCAGATTGAATAAGGTGCACACATGTTTTTGTAGGGGTTTTCCACCATACTTGTGCATAGTGTTCATAAGAAACCTTATCCAAACCAGTAGATTTGGTATTCTTAAATATCGTAGATTTGTCATATTTAAACTTCATTATATCGTCACTGACTGCTCTAAAGACGTTTCGAATATCAGCAATTTGTTGTTTTATTCTTTTTTCTCTTTCCAGTTTGAGCAAAAATCTGTCGCTTTTAAATATTGATTCAAAGTATTCGGCCAAGGCCGCACATATATCATCATCTGCCGTATATGTACTTCCATTCACACGAAGCTGATGACAAATAACCTTTTGTTTTCTGTGAGTTTTGAGAACTGACCACACGTATCTCTGGTCTGAGTCTATAGATTATTCGATTTTTTGTGCACAGTCTTTCATGTAACAATTATATGCGCGTTCTAATTCCTTACGGAAATCTCTTTTAGCGTCCGTAAATGCTCTGAAAAGGAAATCGTTTCTTCTGTGTATTTTGCCGTTTGCAATCCAGTCTGCACGACGTTCTCTCATATACGGATGATAACTTTTTACCGCGTCCGTCCAATACGGATTTATATGTTTGACAAAGTTTTTATGTGGTAAGATATCATGATCGGCAGTCATTATTGCATCAATAATAGTCTTGTAGTATGACTCAATAGTTTCAGGCGAGAATGGTGCACAGACACTCCAAAGATTTTGAGATACGGCAAAATAATAGTTCGTGTTTAAATTAAGTTCAATCGCCTTCGTCCAAGCACCTTTTTCACCTAAGAGTGTGAAATTCGGAATCTGATTCATCGTTCCTGATTTACGGCCGGTAATTTCCATCGTGCATATAATAGATTTATGGTCCGCAATGTTCAATATATATTCATCAGGAATAAAACCTTTAGATATAGAGTAAATGTTCTCTCTTTGAGTTACTATGTAATTTATAGCTGAAATGTAAGTATGTATAGACCCACGGGTCGCCTCTAAGTGTGTATTCAGTAAGTTACAAAGTTATATAGTGGTACTTCTATCTTGCAATTGAAATCGCCCAATATAAAAACAGTTCCAATGTTTTATAGACACGGTAGATATCCATTAAATATTCCAATTCATCCACCAACAAACTAAAACGCCTGTCTCGTAGCAGGTTAGTATACGGAAATTAGGAAAACACTAGGTTGACCCGGAAACTGTATTTCATACCGCATATTCAGTTATATTCAATATCAAGTCCTACTATGATCGGACACAAATAATAAGACACGACAAATGCAACTCCACCACGAAAGTTACAGTTGTACAGTTCAGGATGATACTTGTCAACACTTTTTCTGTAAGCTCGATACTTCAATATTGCGACATTGATTTGCTTTCGGATATATAAAGGTAATAAAGAAATATGTTAACCCCTCCCTAAATGACAAGTACAAGTACAATGAAGCCTGTCAAACCGAATCTTACATAAACCGAAAACCTGTCTCAACCATGCATATTCTGAAGTCCAGTCGTATCAAATTGTATGTGTTGTGAACCTGGTCCCGATGGGGTTCGATTTAGACAGGTTTCTCTGTATATGAAAATAGAAAGTGGGGCATATGTTAGTGAGACAGCAGACAAACAAGGATATACGCCAATTATCGAATTCCTCAGCAAGCTCAGGATCCTTCCAAACTCTAGAAGAAAATGCACATAAATTGTAAAGATTCTCCAAACATAAATTATCCAAATGGCAACAGCAAAAAACAATTCAAAACAACCACTAATGAGATATCTCGCTTACGACATACACATGGATATTAAGGCAATACATGTGCATAAACTAAACTAAGGCATCTGGGCTTATTAGGAATCCATGACGTACTTATTACAACAAACCATCTCATACGGGAATTGTTAATAAAAAATGTGGCTGCTAAGTTATTTTCGGGAATTTATTCGATTTTTACCCTCAACGTTGATAAATTAACAAAACCGAATCATGGAGCACGTATATAAAAATGAATCGATAGAACAATGAACAAAGTTATTTTCTTTATATATATGCGTTTTGTTAAAATATACTTTTTCACTCTTTTGGTCTTTTGGAAAATGTTGTTTGTGCTGTAGTTAGACCCCTCTACCAGGAAATTTGTTTTGCATGCACACGTATAAAAATTGCGGTTTTTATCCAACGCAATCATAGGTTTGAACGTTGTTTTCAATTTAGACTTGTTTATATATATATATATATATATATATAAGTTCCATGTGTTCCCATTAGTTGATTAAACTTTGTCATAACATTTGTCAAATAATTTGGTTTATGATTTTTTCACTATCAGAATTAGTTAATACTTTCTTATTTTTACGTTTTTTAACTTTCTCTTCCGTCACGGTTTCCCTTTATACTTTGCTATGCTATTGTCGTATATCTAGTGAGAGGTGTCCTGGTTAAGGTTGCTGCATACGGAAAAACTGTCGGCAAGTAGACCATAGTTCAATAGCAGTACATTTTAGAAGATTTAATTAAAATAAAAGGATTATCGTTTCCACATTTACTATCAACTACAACACCTTTTTGTTGACGTGTTTGTTAGATTTATTTGTATGTTAGTTTGAATTTTACAGTCAGTCGTGGTGTATCTTTACAAAATTTTAGCCTCTGAATCTGAAATATTGTCACATTTATCTATTATGTCTGTTTGGGTTGCTCACCCATTTTTTTCAATATAACGGAATTATAAACAAATGTCATAATAATGGGAGGATTGGCTAGCTAAAAATCAGGTTTAACCCATCATTTTTGTGTGGAAAATGCTTGTATCAAGTCAGCAATATGACAGCTGTTTTTTGAACTCTAATACCTTGAAGTTCGGAATTTTGTTATACTTTTCAAATGAAAGTGTTGTGTAATAAAACTTAGACATTCAAGTATATAAAACATATTCATCTTTTTTGTATTTTGAAGAATCATATGACTTTACGGCTTCGTATCCGTAGTTGGGCAATAATTTGAATTTTGATGGAATTTTGTACGCATTTGGAAGTCGTTGAACTGCATCTGAATATCGGAAAAGTATATATGTAGCATTTAAATATATAAAAAAACAGTCAGTTAAAATTTCAAAATATCGAATTCCTTCTGTTCACACAGTTTAATTATTTACGTGTACTTTGATCTTAAAGGGCTTTTTTATTTGTCAGTGTATCAGAAAAAATTGATGTAAAATAACAACGATCAGGATCAATTATTTTTTTGGTAAACTCTGATCATTTGAAATATTGATGTTTATGAATAGTTGTTATCTTGACATTTGAAGTTAATCCACTCGCTCCCGTTTTTCCACTTGTTCCGCTAGTTGATAACGTTGATTTTATCAGTTTTTATTGACTTTTCTTTATAAAAGATATAACAGACTTCAAAGTCAAACAAATTTACCAGCTTGTGATAGAGATTTTGAATATACGCAATTTATGCATTGGAAACTCATATCGTTCATATTTTATTTTCTTTTTCAGGATGTACAGGTAATGTCAAACCATTATCAATCAGTTGTGGTGACGGTCAACGAAGATGTCCTGGTAAATACCAATGCAACACACCTCCAGTAGGCGGCAGTGGAGTATGCTGTCCTTATGGTATGTTAAAAAGCGTCCTAATTCACCGTTGTAGAATCTAATGTATTCTGGGTAATATTTTCAAAAATGTACACCAAAATGTTTTGATTGGTTAAAAACGTCATATTCAATTGAAATTCAACCAATGACTTAACGATGTTTTCAAATTAGATAAAGAGAGATTCATGATACATGATGTTTTTAAATATAAGATATGGGGTTGTGGTATGATTGCAAAAGCATGAGACAAGAAGATAAGAAAGTAAGTAAATGTATAGAAGCAGAAAGTAAGATAATATATAGATACAGACAGTAAGTAAATGTATAAATACAGACAGTAAGTAAATGTAAAGATACAGACAGTAAGTAAATGTATATATATACAGACAGTAAGTAAATGTATAGAAACAGAAAGTAAGATTATGTATAGATACAGACAGTAAGTAAATATATAGATAAAGAAAGTTGGTAAATGTATAGATACAGACAGACAGTAAGTAAATGTATAGATAAAGAAGGTAAGTAAATGTATAGAAACAGAAAGTAAGATAATATATAGATACAGACAGTAAGTAAATGTATATATACAGACAGTAAGTAAATGTATTGATACAGAAAGTAGGTGAATGTATAGATAAAGAAAGTAAGTAAATGTGAAGATACAGAAAGTAGGTAAATGTTTAAATAAGAAAGTAAGTAAATATATAGATACAGAACGTAAGTAAATGTATAGATACAGAAAGTTAGTTAATGTATAGATAAAAAAAGTGAGTAAATGTATAGATAAAGACAGTGAGTAAATGTATGGATATAGAAAGTAGGTAAATGTATAGATAAAAAAAAGTGAGTAAATGTAACGGATTGGGAGTCTTTATTGTTGAACAGAATCGGTTTTTCCATCCAGAGCTTCTGGGATCACCCCCGGGTTTTTTTTCGGGGGGGGGGGGGGTCAATTGTGATCAGTCTTTACTTTTATATGTGGCGTTTTATATACTGTTTTTTATCTCGTGGTCTGTTCCTTTTTTTTGCCATGGTTTTGTCAGTTTATTTTCCTGATTGTATCAGTTTGACTGAAGGTGGATTTGCATAACGGGTGATGTATGCATCGCAGGAAAAGCTTAGCCTTTCAAAGAACCCGGTCTTGCTCGTTTTTGAGTTTTTGAGTTCATGCAAGTTACTTTCTGTTTTACATTGATTTGTATATTTATAATGGATGTATGAGATACAAACACATAAGGTGAGAACAGATCAAGTAATCGCTCCGTCCTTTAAAAGCACATAAATGGTAAATAGTTTCGTGTCCAATAAGCATGATTAAAAGAGTGGCGCTCATTTTGATGGATTTGAATGGCTTTTTTCTTAAATTTCAATGAACGTGTGAGCCTTATCCGTGGCTTATAATAAAATACAGTTGAGGATGCATGCTTGGTGCATGTAATTAAACTGATCTTGTTTTCCACCATTACTATTATCTTTATACTAGTAGAAGAAAAGTAGACTTTTATAGAAAAAAAATATTATCCCATTAAAATTGATTTTAATTAAGAGCCTACAACCAAGCCAGGAGAATGTCCACCTAACACACCTGGTGTTATCTGTCCGTTATTTGTTAGACCAGGAGATTGTACTAATGATGGAAGTTGTCCTGGTAATCAAAAGTGTTGTCAACAGGGATGTTCCAGAAGTTGTGTTGATCCAGGTAATTAAAAAGATAGTACCTTCATAAGGCAATTACGGAAACTTAATGAGAGTAACACTTTTTTTCATTTCGTATATTTGTTTATAACCTGACAATATTTTACTGACTGTTGCGCTTTTGAGCAAATACAATTTAAGTGCGCATAGTAAATTCAACCCACAAGAAAAATTTGATTTGGAATCTGCATTCCAGCCATAAATGTCTGCGTATTTATAAATCGTAAGATCGCTTTTATGGACATTTTGACTTAGTTCATTCCTGGTTTTCAGTGGTTTGGGGATGCTCAATCTTTAGGTCTGTATCTGTGTTTTTAAGACACTGTTGCTTGTATTCTCAACTCATTACTTCTGCCATCATCCGTACATGTTATCGATCAAGAGAATCCGAATATAATGGTCAATTTCTATTTTATTAAATATTTATATTCTTTTTTAGTTTCTTCTCGAAAAATCTATAAAAGTATTAGAAAAGGCTTTATAATAATGTTATAAATGTTAATACATTTACACCTTTTACAGGACCTAGATGTGGACCTGTTTGTGCTATATACTGTCCCTTTGGAAACGTTCTAGATGAAAACAACTGTCCAATTTGTAGATGCAAAACAGGTAGCGATGTTTTGGTGTATCATTATAATTTCCTCTTATACAGAGATTATATCATATCATAAACAAAACATTAGACATAGAACACACACATACAAAACACATTTAGACAGTTAAAAATATCAAAGAAACATTAAGATTAAGCAATGGTGATTGTCGTTAATGACCTGTAAATTATAGATAGAAGAGTTTACAAGTGTTGTATACATGCTGGACACAAAATTTCGAGAATACGATCGATACCCTCGTCAATATCTAGTTCGTATTTAGTGTCACAGGATAGAAGTGCGACTGGAAATTCTAGAGATAATAGGCTGTCCATACAGACAATAAACTGAATTGGGTTTATGCTTATAATGTTTCTCCACATGTCATTTCCATAATCTAGAACAAAATCACATGAGCATAGTATATCTTCTAAAACGTTTGAGAACAGTTTTCCGCATTTTTCATATAGTAGTTGTTCAACTTCCATACGTACAATAGCACAAAGGTCAATAACGTACTTTGTAGCTACCCTTTAATTTGGATATCTCTTCGCAATTACCCATGCTTTATGTAACTTTATGACTGGATGGATAGGTTTGAAAAAGTTGAAGTCTCTGTCGTTTGACCTCCTTTCTAACCACTGCAATTGTTCAGTCTTGTAAATATTTTGCAACAGTGCATTGTTCCAGACAGTTTTTGAAGGAAAAGTTCAATAAGATTAAAAATATATTACAAAAGACCGTTCTTATTAGATAGTCTATACATATCAGGAATGAAACCAAGCTGATTGTCCACATATTTGTATTTAGACTCGAGCAGTCTGGCTATCATTATCTGCTTTGGTAGGTGAGCTGAATCTAGTTTACATAATCTGCCGAAAAATAAAAGTTTGCATTTGTCAATATAATACTCAATGCAGAGCCATCCAAGAAGGCTGGTACACTTGTCTGATCTAGACCTTTTTGGTAAGACTTGCACTGCTTTACATACGAATCGGTGAGCTCGTTCATGCAATAATAATTCAGATTTGGTAAGATCGTTTCATAGTTCAGATGAACACCAGAGTTCATAATCGAAATAATAGTTGCTCGTAACATCTGACATGCATTCAGCATCTGTTCAATAGAATCAAAGCTACTCTCTAAGAGAATACCGACATGTTTAGTGGATTTGAAGATAGGTATTTCTGAACCATATAGAAAGAATCTATCGATAGCGATACCTTGCCTCATCCCATACAGTAGTACATGGCTCTTTCTTGGCGAAAACTTGAAAGCCCAACGCTCACTGAACTTGCAAATGTATATAAGAGTTTGCATTCTTATGGTTGTAGGAGACATAAGGGCTATATCATCCGCTTGTACAGAACATGCGACTCTTAAATCATAGAGAGTTGTATCGTATCTCGTGTTGTTCAATTCAATAAGCAAGTCATTGATAAAGACTAGGTATATATATATATATAACGGCTGATAGCACACCTCTTTGACGCTCTCCCCATCTCGACAGTTTCTTATTGAATAAGATTGAGCTTTTTATGCCACGATACATTTCGTCGATTAACAGCCAAAATTTACCACAAACACCATATTCTTTTAGATATTTTTTTATTAAGTTTTGATGGAGAGGTTCTAAATGAGGAACGAGTATTTTCTCGAAAGCGATATACCTCGGAATGTGTTTGGGTCAGTTTTGTCTGTATTCCCACCTTTGAATAATAATAATTATAACACTTGTTTTCCAATCGACAGGAATATGACATTTTGAATTATCAGATTGAATAAGGTGCACACATGTTTTTGTAGGGGTTTTCCACCATACTTCACGTGTTCATAAGAAACCTTATCAAAACCAGTAGATTTGTTATTCTTAAATATCGTAGATTTTGTCATATTTAAACTTCATTATATCGTCACTGACTGCTCTAAAGACGTTTCGAATATCAGCAATTTGTTGTTTTATACTTTGTTCTCTTTCAAGTTTGAGCAAAAATCTGTCGCTTTTAAATATTGATTCAAAGTATTCGGCCCAAGCCTCACATATATCATCATCTGCCGTATATGTACTTCCATTCACACGAAGCTGATGACAAATAACCTTTTGTTTTCTGTGAATTTTGAGAACTGACCACACGTATCTCTGGTCTGAGTCTATAGATTATTCGATTTTTTGTGCACAGTCTTTCATGTAACAATTATATGCGCGTTCTAATTCCTTACGGAAATCTCTTTTAGCGTCCGTAAATGCTCTGAAAAGGAAATCGTTTCTTCTGTGTATTTTGCCGTTTGCAATCCAGTCTGCACGACGTTCTCTCATATATGGATGATTACTTTTTACCGCGTCCGTCCAATACGGATTTATATGTTTGACAAAGTTTTTATGTGGTAAGATATCATGATCGGCAGTCATTATTGTATCAATATTAGTCTTGTAGTATGACTCAATAGTTTCAAGCGAAAATGGTGCACAGACACTCCAAAGATTTTGAGATACGGCAAAATAATAGTTCGTGTTTAAATTAAGTCCAATCGCCTTCGTCCAAGCACCTTTTTCACCTAAGAGTGTGATATTCGGAATCTGATTCATCGTTCCTGATTTACGGCCGGTAATTTTCATCGTGCATATGATAGATTTATGGTCCGCAATGTTCAATATATATTCATCAGGAATAAAATCTTCAGATATATAGTAAATGTTCTCTCTTTGAGTTACTATGTGATTTATAGCTGTTTTTGGCCCACCATCGCAATACTGAAATGTAAGTATGTATAGTCGCCTCTAAGTGTGTATTCAGTAAGTTACAAAGTTATATCGCGGTCCTTCTATCTTGCAATTGAAATCGCCCAATATAAAAACAGTTCCAATGTTTGTATAGACACGGTAGATATCCATTAAATATGCCAATTCATCCACCAACAAATTAAAACGCCTGTCTCGTTGCAGGTAAGTATACGGAAATTAGGAAAACACTAGGTTGACCTGGAAACTGTATTTCAATACCGCATATTCAGTTATTTTCAATATCAAGTCCTACTATGATCGGACACAAATAATAAGACACGAAAAATGCAACTCCACCACGAAAGTTACAGTTGTACAGTTCAGGATGATACTTGTCAACACTTTTCTGTAAGCTCGATACTTCAATATTGCGACATTGATTTGCTTTCAGATATATAAAGGTAATAAAGAAATATGTAAACCCCTCTCTAAATGACAAGTACAAGTACAATGAAGCCTGCAAACCGAATCTTACATAAACCGAAAACCTGTCTCAACCATGCATTTTCTGAAGTCCAGTCGAATCAAATTGTATGTGATGTGAACCTGGTCCCGATGGGGTTCGATTTAGACAGGTTTCTCTGTATATGAAAATAGAAAGTGGGGCATATGTTAGTGAGACAGCAGACAAACAAGGATATACGCCAATTATCAAATTCCTCAGCAAGCTCAGGATCCTTCCAAACTCTAGAGGAAAATGCAAATAAATTGTACAGATTCTCCAAACATAAATTATCCAAATGGCAACAGCAAAAAACAATTCAAAACAACCACTAATGAGATATCTCACTTACGACATGCACATGAATATTAAGGCAATACATGTGCATAAACTAAACTAAGGCATCTGGGCCTATTAAGAATCCATGACGTATTTATTACAACAAACCATTTCATACGGGAATTGTTAATCAAAAATGTGGCTGCTAAGTTATTTTCGAGAATTTATTCGATTTTTACCCTCAATGAACAAAACCGAATCATGGAGCACGTGTATAAAAATGAATCGATAGAACAATGAACAAAGTTATTGTCTATATATATATATAAGTTCCATGTGTTCCCATTAGTTGATTAAACTTTGTCATAACATTTATCAAATAATTTGGTTTATGATTTTTTCACTATCAGAATTAGTTAATACTTTCTTATTTCTACGTTTTTTTAACTTTCTCTTCCATCACGGTTTCCCTTTATACTTTGCTATGTTATTGTCGTATATCTAGTGAGAGGTGTCCTGGTTAAGGTTGCTGCATACGGAAAAACTGTCGGCGAGTAGACCATAGTTCAATAGCAGTATATTTTAGAAGATTTAATTAAAATAAAAGGATTATCGTTTTCACATTTACTATCAACTACAACACCTTTTTGTTGACGTGTTTGTTAGATTTATTTGTATGTTAGTTTGAATTTTACAGTCCGTCGTGGTGTATCTTTACAAAATTTTAGCCTCTGAATCTGAAATATTGTCACATTTATCTATTATGTCTGTTTGGGTTGCTCACCCAATTTTTTCAATATAACGGAATTATAAACAAATGTCATAATAATGGGAGGATTGGCTAGCTAAAAATCAGGTTTAACCCATCATTTTTGTGTGGAAAATGCTTGTATCAAGTCAGCAATATGACAGCTGTTTTTTGAACTCTAATACCTTGAAGTTCGGAATTTTGTTATACTTTTCAAATGAAAGTGTTGTGTAATAAAACTTAGACATTCAAGTATATAAAACATATTCATCTTTTTTGTATTTTGAAGAATCATATGACTTTACGGCTTCGTATCCGTAGTTGGGCAATAATTTGAATTTTGATGGAATTTTGTACGCATTTGGAAGTCGTTGAACTGCATCTGAATATCGGAAAAGTATATATGTAGCATTTAAATCTATCAAAAACAGTCAGTTAAATTTTCAAAACAACGAGTTCTTTTTGCTCACACAGTTTAATTATTTACGTGTACTTTGATTTTAGGGGGCTTTTTTATTTGTCAGTGTATCAGAAAAAATTAATGTAAAATATCAACAATAAGGATCAATTATTTTTTTGGTAAACTCTGATCATTTGAAATATTGATTTTTATGAATTGTTGTTATCTTGGCATTTGAAGTTAATCCACTCGCTCCCGTTTTTCCACTCGTTCCGCTAGTTGATAACGTTGATTTTATCAGTTTTTATTGACTTTTCTTTATAAAAGATATAACAGACTTCAAAGTCAAACCAATTTACCAGCTTATGGTAGAGATTTTGAATATACCCAATTTATGCATTTGAAACTTATATCTTTCATATTTTATTTTATTTTTCAGGATGTACAGGTAATGTCAAACCATTATCAATCAGTTGTGGTGACGGTCAACGAAGATGTCCTGGTAAATATCAATGCAACACACCTCCAGCAGGCGGCAGTGGAGTATGCTGTCCTTATGGTATGTTAAAAAGCGTCCTAATTCGCCGTTGTAGAATCTAATGTATTCTGGGAAATATTTTTAAAAATGTACACCAAAATGTTTTGATTGGTTAAAAACGTCATATTCAATTGAAATTCAACCAATGACGTATCGTTGTTTTCCTTTTGATATACGAACAATGACATTACCCATAGTTCTTTAGATTCTGAAAAGACCAATTGTAACATTCACCAAATTACATATATAAATGACGTTACATACATAAAGAGAGATTCATGAAACATGATGTTTGTAAATATAAGATATGGGGCTGTGGTATGATTGCAAAAGCATGAGACAACTGTAGAAGAGAGACCAGATAACATAGATGATATCAACTTTAGATCACCGTACGGCCTTCAATGATGAGTAAAACCCATACAGCATAGCAAGCTATAAAAAGTCCCTACATAACAAAATGTTAAAAAGAGGCGAAGGATACCAAATGGACATTCAAACTCAGTCGAAAATAAAATGACAACGCCATGGCTAAAAAAGAAAAATACAAACAACAGTACACAAAACACAACATAGAAAACCAAAGACTGAGCAACACGAACCCCAACAAAAACTGGGGGTGATCTCATGTGCTCCGTTGAGAAAACCATCAATATGAATAATATGTGGTATGAGTGCCAATGAGCCAACTCTCCATCCAAGTCACAATGTATAAAAAGTTAACAATTATAGGTCGAAGTACGACCTTCAACACGGAGCCTTGGCTCACACCGAACAGCAATCTATAAAGGGCCCCAAAATGACTAGTGTAAAACACTTCAAACAGGAAAACCAACGGTCTAATCTATATAAAACACAAGAAACGAGAAACATCTATGAACCACATTATCAAACGACAACCACTGAACAACAGGCTCTTGACTCAGGACAGGTGTATAAAAATGCAGCGGGTTCAAACGTTTTAACAGGCGTCAACCTTCACTATAACCTGAGACATTAGTGTAACATATAAAATGACACACTATAAAATATCAATTGAAATGGCTTAACTCGATCAAAAAGACATTTAAACAAGAACAAGTAAACATACACTGAACGAATAAGTTTGATCTATGACACAATATAAATACAATATTAAAACGTAGGTGCCTATATAACATAGACGTTACAGGTAGTAATAAAATAGATGTTGGAAGAGTGTCAATAAGACAACTCTTACCTGGGACAAAATGGCGTTAAATAAAACAACGTACACAGGTAGATGTAAATATAATAATTTTGTTGTTAGCAGTACGGAAGTAAACATTTTTTTACAAATTTAATAAATTTGTTGTTCAGAGTACGAGTACAGAAGTGAAAATTTATCGTCATACTAAATATATATTAAAAATAATGAGACGAGATATAACACAAAATAAGTAAACATTGAATTATAGAAATGCATTACAAATTGTGTCAACAGGTCAAATTAACACGAAAGTACGATTTGAGAGTACTTGCAATTACTGAAAGCTAGCTACAAGCCAAAACAATTAACAATAAAAAATCATGCATCAGAGACTAAAATCAATTAAAACACATCCCAGGTTTTTAGTGTTTTCCACCATGGACAGTCCGAATTATTCAGGCACAGCACAAATATAACATAACACGTCTGAATTATTATGCATCTGAATTTTATCAATAATTTGCCAAATAAGACATATTTCTAATTAATAAGTATGTTACCGAAATTTCTAGCAAGATGTCTTATTCTCGGCACATCACGATTTACTCGCATAGGGATTTTCGAATAAGCATTTGTTTAGATATGTAGTAAAACAGATGAAATCATACTATATTTGATATAAAACAGAAATGGACAAATTAAATGTAATCATTTTGTTTTCAAACATGTGAAATAGCCAGTAATAATTCAAAAATAAACGGGAAACCCCGTTATTATTACAAAATATCAACAATATCATGCATAGTAAGAAAAACGGAAAAAAACTAAAGGAAAAGAGACAACAAAGACAAAAACAGGGATTCGAACCTAAACCGACAAGTCTCTAATTTTAACTTGACTCTATAACTCATTGATTTCATCCTCGCAGCTATCAACTTATACTATACAATTGTCTATTATGTATATATAAAGGTACACGCCCTATGTGTCTGTTCATACGTTTATTTATATATATAAAATAGACCTCTTATTTGCAATCCATTGGTAGCGGAGAGATTTCGCCAATGTGATGTTGTCAGTCACACATAACATTTTCAAGGAAGGGTTCGATTCCCAGTGAACAAAAATAATAAAAGTTAAAGATAAGTTTTTAAATTAATTCTATTCGTGAACAGAAATCAGTAAATTAGCCAGTTCATACTTAATGAAATTAGGCACAAAAAGGAAACAATTGAATATAATTTGGAGAGTCCATTTCAGCGACAGATTTAGGAAGCGTTGATTCTTGAACAAAAAACCACGGTAAATGAATAGCATGAATAGGCTGATGTTTACGGCAATGGTTTAAGTATAGATATACAGTAACAAACGACAACCACTGAATTACAGGCTCTTGCCTTGGGACAGACTCATTAATTGATTAATCTTTGTCAGTAAAATAAAACGTTAAAGGTTTAAATATCTAGTTTATAGACATATATCACTTACATGACGTTTAAACGCCTTCAGGTCGTAGTCAAGACGTACCTGATTACGGTGATTCATTACGCACGTAAAAATATTCTTTTTTTTAATCACCCAAATACTTCACAGAACCTTAGTCTATTTGAGCACATCTAAATTGTGATAGTGTTATATCTTAAATGAGATCTCACAAGAATACACGAGGTGAGTGATCCTTTCATTCTTGGATGAATTGTCGCAGTGTTAGTAGGGCCTAGTGGTATTTTGTCGAATTGGACACATATACTTTATATTTGGTGAAGATAATGCTTTCTTACAGAAGAAAAGAAAACCACACATAAACACTATTAGAACCTTAGAAAAGTATCACTTTTATGAGGTGATATTTGCTCATATGACTTAAATAACGTTGGGGTTTTATATCATTCTAAAAGGAGAGTTCTTAAAGCGCACATGCAGACATCTCATACGTTCAGTTACTTCACATTCCATCTTTTATGGTAATATTCTATACAAAGCACAAACATATCGCCATTCACCTCAAAAGCTAACAAAACCTTTAAACAGACTTATTCACAATTAAGGGATATAGTTACGATACTGTTGTCAAATCATTAATGATGGCATTTATTGGAATTTATATTGATTCACTCATAGGGTCTTTGCATCGGAAATAAATACATTTATTCTAAATCCAGTTGTTGGTATGACACGGGTTATGTTCTACTGGTATAATTTATGATGGCATGACAGTTAAATCCTAACGGGAGGTATTGTGCTTAATTTTCATACGATGAAGACATAATCTTTCAATCAGTTTAATTAAGTTCTGGGGCTGGCATGTCAGTAACTGCAAGTAGTTCTTTGTTAATTTATGTATCATTATCATTTTGCTTAGTTTCTTCTGTTACCTATTCTGACATCGGACTCGGACTTCTTTTAAACTGAGTTTTACTGTGCGTATTGCTGTGTGTTTGTTTATTCTACATTGGCTAGAAGTATAGATAGAGGGTTGAGATCTCACAAAACATTTTAAAGCCCTTTATAGCTTGCTGTTCGGTGTGAGTCAAGGCTCCGTGTTGAAGACCGTAATTTGACCTATAATGGTTTACTTTTATAAATTTTAACTTGGATGGAGAGTTGTCTCATTGGCACTCATACCACATCTTATATCTATTAAACCTGTCGCATGTTTTGCGCCATTCCCAAGTCAGGAACCTCTGACCTTTGTTAGTCTTGTATGGTTTTTTTTTTTAGTATTATTAATATTAGTGTGACGTCCATTTTCACTGAACTAGTAAACATTTTTGTTTAGGGGCCAGCTGAAGCCCGCCTCCGTGTGCGGGATTTTCTCGCTGTGTTGAAGACCCATTGGTGGCCTTGGGCTGTTTTCTGCTCTTTGGTCGGGTTGTTTTCTCTTTGACACATTCCCCATTTCCATTCTTAATTTTATCATTCTTTTTTATTTCATTTTATTGATAATATGACTTTACGGACTCGTATCCGTAACTGGGCAATATTTGGGATTTGGATGGGATTTTGTACGCCTTTTGAAGTCGTTGAACTGCATATGGCTAGAGGTAACGGGGAGAGTTGAGTGTTTAGATCACACAAAACAGGAACCTATAGCCTTTGTTAGTCTTGTGTGCTTTTTAAATGTTGGTTCATTCATATGTTTCGGAGTTTAGTGTGGCATCCATTTCGCTGAACTAGTATACATTATTGTTTAGCGGCCAGCTGAAGCCCGACTCTGCGTTGAAGACCCATTGGTGGCCTTAGGCTGTTTTGCTTTTAGGTCGGGCTTTTGTCTTTGACACATTCCCTGTTTCCATTCTCAGTTCTATTTTTCTGATATCTTTCGAATATTTTGTGTATAACATTACTGAAAATATCGTTTTTTCTGCCGAAACCATAAGAAAAAGAATGTTTTTCTTTTTTGCTTACGTCCATACGCACGATTATCTGATTTGATTTTTTTCTACAACTTGCTATCACTGCGCAAATGGCACACTTTTATCGACCAATTTAGTTAGTTGCACGTGTTTTTGGTTGTAAAGGTGAAAGCATTTTCATTATTCAAAAGATTGATTGATTGATATTTAACGTAAAGTTGCAATTATTTCATAATTACCAATCAAAATTTTGATTTAAGTCTAATGAGCTAACATTTCTACTGCCACTATAGATTCATTTAACGTAGAGTTACAAACACTTGATAGTTATCAACCAACAGTTTGATTTGAGTCAAATCAGCTAAATATTTCCACTGCCACTATAGAGAACAAGTTTACGTAAGATAGAAGTGTAATATGTTACAAGTGTTCTTTAAAGTGCAGACTACATGAAATTCACCCCATGTGAAACATAGGATTGTATGCGTGTCTGTGTA